AATTTTAAATTTTAAAAATGTCAGGGTTATTCGCCCTATGTCTATAGTGCTGCAGCGGCTTCTTCTTGTTTGTAGTATTGTATAGGTGTTATCTGTAATATACAAATATTCGTATTACTAATAATGTACGTAATGTTTTCTTATGTGTTTATACTCTTATTTGTACTAACTCTGTGTAGTCTTCTTGTGTGCGTGCCGCCGGTTAACTTTACTACGTGTGCTGTCTGATGTATTGTGTGCTGTGTTTTATGTTGGTGAGTGTAAGAGGGGATTGGGTATTGTGGAGAGGGAGGTACCGTTAGTCTGTGTAGATTTCGTGTATCGTTTGAAATATGGGATTGTGTGTTTCTATGTGTGTGTCATTCATGTGTAGACCTTCCTTACTTATTTTATATATATGGTATTTCTCTAATGTATTCAAATGTCTGCCCTTTCCCGTTGTTACAACTTCCATTACCTCTGTTATTGTTCCGTATGCATGTCCTGGAAGTTGTAACAACGGGAAAGAAGGGCAGACATTTGAATACATTAGAGAAATACCATATATATAAAATAAGTAAGGAAGGTCTACACATGAATGACACACACATAGAAACACACAATCCCATATTTCAAACGATACACGAAATCTACACAGACTAACGGTACCTCCCTCTCCACAATACCCAATCCCCTCTTACACTCACCAACATAAAACACAGCACACAATACATCAGACAGCACACGTAGTAAAGATAACCGGCGGCACGCACACAAGAAGACTACACAGAGTTAGTACAAATAACAGTATAAACACATAAGAAAACATTACGTACATTATTAGTAATACGAATATTTGTATATTACAGATAACACCTATACAATACTACAAACAAGAAGAAGCCGCTGCAGCACTATAGACATAGGGCGAATAACCCTGACATTTTTAAAATTTAAAATTTAGAGAGAACAAATTTTTAAAGGATTTCAAATTAGAACCAAAGATTTTATACGTGCTAATCAAGGAGACCTATGTTTTTAAATTTTAAATGTTATAAATGAGTGCGGTGTAACAGATACGTGAGTGCATACACCTGATGATGGCCGTTTGGAGCCGAAACATGTAGTGTATAAAGAAGAACAAAACGAAAGACCTATAAATATAGTTTGCACTTAGGACGGAGTTATATATCGTATAAAGTGCAACAGGATGCTTTAAATATAATATCATCAGGATTATTTGACCTTACACCGAGGGAAGTTCAAACAGATGCTGTGAAGACCACCTTTAGAAAGACAGGGCAGGAATCTGTATTTGAGAAAGCTCATCTTAATTAAAACGTGCAAAATATTATTGAAAATTAACATTTAAACTTGTAAATAAAAAACAACGTGTCCCAGGATTTTATCATTGGTTTCTGGTTCACCGCTTGGCGTCCCACCGTGTTACTTCCTGCAGGCTGCTTCAAGCAAGCTTCAGCTCTTTAAGAATTAGCACTTCGAAGTTGGAGGTTTCGACAGAAACTTCGGTTATCTTTTCATTAAGTCCCTTGAAAAGGGCAGGAACTGCTTTTGTGTCTGTTTGCCATGCAGTAAAGTCATAAAGAGGCAATTAAGGTAAAGCTCTGCTTCGACCCCACATCGCCATTAAAATTCCCAGTTATATTTTCCCCCTTTTAATCCCGCAGTTACATAAACTGATTACAAACTACTTTTAACAGCCATCACACAAGCAACACACATCTGTGATACAGGTCTGGTCTTATGCTGATATACAATATGTTTCGATTTCCAGTCGGCCATCACCAGACGGGTCATTTCGTATCTACGATGTATACTAATGTGTGCAGCATTAAAATAATTTTTGAACTTGTTTTTTAATGATACTGTATCGAAACTACATAGTTCGGTGACTGGATGATTAATGAGTCTAGAGCAGCTGGTGAAATGAGAACTGGCAGGGGAACACGAAGTTCTCGGAGGAAACCATCCCAGTGCTACTTTTTACATCGCAAATCCCACACGGCTTCTCCTTGGATCGAACCTGGACCACCATGATGGGAATTAAAAAACCTACAATTTTTCTATAATGTAGCGTAGTTGGTTGAGGCACTATGTTACAAGCCGGAAGGTCGCGGGTTCAAGTCCCGATGAGGTCACTGGACTTTTTTCAGTTGACCTAATCTTTCCAGCCGCACTATGGCCCTGGGGTCGACTCAGCCTCTAACAGAAATTAGTACCAGGAATATTCTTGGGGGTAAAGGGCGGCCGGCGCGTAAGGCTGACAACCTTCCCGCCATCTATGAGCCGATTGTCTCGATGTGGGAACCTCAATATCTCACAACCCTATGGGCCTCCACGGCCTGTTACAGGGATAGTATTACTCTTACTTTGTAGAGGTTATTCAAGGTGGCCCTGCTTTTTCAACCATATAGATGGATTATGGCACAGACAAAGAAGTCAGTTAATTCAAATAAGTATTAAAAGAAGAATCAGACAAGAGCTTTGTGATAACGCACACTGTTACATTTTCAACGTCATTCTTAATCATCGCCTGGCCTTTCAATAGAATAGGTAGAGAGGAAGTTGTCTTTGTCATTAAACAGTGTTGCTTATGGGCTGTGGTAGTTATCTATAGAAGTGTGTCTTAAGCTTGATTTAATAGAATAAATAAAATTGAAGTAATGCCACAATGGGGCAGGGATTTTATGGAGTCCATAGATGAGTGTTTTGGATATAGTAAGGATATGATTCTTGGGCTGTTTGTGGGTTGTGATCTAGCTGCAGGTTAAAGTGTTATGTCGTTCCACTGTAATGCCTTGTAGTGAAGATGGTGTGATCTGAGTCAGTGCAAGACTGACGTCGAAACACGTAACCTTTTGAATTACTCGTACTGCAAATAAAGTAGCAGCTCCATCTACACAACAGAATGCAACCATTTAAGTATAAATTGATAAAAGTTTCTTTAGAATAAAACTTAAGTAAAATTAAAATTAGAAACTTATTTTTATTAATTATTTTCACGCAAGTACTATAAAATGCCCTCTATATATCCTACCTATCATTAACCGCTATGTGGTAATGTACTGCCCTTACATTCCCATAGAAGCATTTTTACAGAGGACCTATTTCATGTCAATTATAGAAGGGAAGTTTATTACCATGCGTAATGTAGACCGAATGCAAAATCATGCTTCGTCCCATCTTATTAGAGCATTAATGCTATTTATTTTTAAGTACGTTACTGATCACCGGAACACTTCTAGACACTCGAGTTTTGTGGTTAGTAAAAACGTGAGACTTGTGGCCAACTTTTCCATTCTTTTCTTAATACTCTAGGGGATACCCGGAAATTATACATTCTTTTTATTACACTATTAGTTTTCCTATTTGATTTCACTATAAAGTTTGTTTTTATTATTTTGTTATATTTATTACTTACTGTTTTGTTATTATGATCTGCTAAGTTGTCATTGATGAGGCTGTTATGCTGTTTGGTGCACGACTGTCGATGCAATGCGAGAATATGGTACTGCGTACCTGATGGCGCTGTAATCTTTTGGACAAAGAAATCCAGGTTACGCCATTAATTGGTCGACGTCCATATGCGAAATATTCACTGGAATTGTTTTGTAGTTTTATATACATGCCTATGAATCTTTTTAGAGAGTATTTATGCATTTTCAGTTTATTACATTTCGTGAACTACTAGTATGTTTTTAGTCTACCAAATGAGTATCCTATATTCTCGGGTCCGAGTCCATTGGGACTCATGACCAAATTTTACTGTCTCAGATTTGAGACTTCCCTTTTTGTCGCCTCCTACGACTCGCAGGGTCACGGTGGAGGTATTCGACCCTGCCTCCACACGGGCTAAAACTAACTCACTGCTCTGTCCTGCTTATAACATCTCAGAACGGACCGCACAGAAAATACCGTTCTTCGGTTGCTGTATTCATTGTTGCGTTCGCGTCTGTTTGGGATGCCCACGTGATCGCTACTCAACCACTGCCTAACAACGGCCGTTGTTTACAGAGTCATTACTTAGCTGCGGTTGTTGTATAACTGCTTATCTCGCGGTCGTTGCCTGGCAACGGGTCTACATACAACAATATGACAATTTTAAAGAAGCTCTAATTAAAAATTATGAACTATAACAGTCTGTATTTAAGTCTAAAAATATTATGGGAAGAAAATATACTCTTATTTAGCATAGATAATATTTGCATTCTGAATTACACTAAAACTAATAACAAATATTATACCATTGCATCATGTTATGTGTGTTATATTTATTATTTGTTACCATCAACATAAAATATGTATAGATATAATATAAATTATAGGATTACAATATGTTTCAGCCTTTTGGCCATCATCAGGTATTACACATGTATCTTTGGCTTATCTGAACTTTCCTCTACATTGGCCAGTGTTTACACATGTGTATTTTTAGTCAATCTTTTTATTAAACTACTAAGTGAAAAAACAAAGCTTACAGTTCTACTCAGTAATTGCTATCAGAGAACTCATTCCATAGTAAACCGATGCCTTGTATGCCATTAATAATATTCAGTTTTGTGATATAGATGAAAACCTGAGTTAAATATTAATTGAATACCATTTGTTTGCAGGTTCATCACGTACATTCATGATGTCACGCTTACCTACATCTTCTGAGAATGTACCAGTTGCAGGAAATGTGACAATTTCTTCATCATTAACACAAGGTATCTTAAGTCTAAACACAACAGCATATGCACCTGGTGCAGTTGCCATCTCTGTGCCTTCTGAGGCTCCAGCAAACAATGTGACTACTCATCGCACTGCCTCACAAGTAATTCAGAGAATCTCACCCAAGGAAAAGGTTGCAAGCAGCGCAGCTTCCAACACCAGCAATGTCACCTCATCCGATCGCACAGAGCAAGGGATCTTGACGCGATACATATACGAGTCTGGTTACAAAATCTCAAATGTTGAACTTTGTTCAGAATTAGGCAAAAATCTGCAACTACTAGTAGCTATCACATCTGCCCCCAGTCACAAAGATGCTCGTATGGCCATTAGACAAACATGGGGTCACTACAGCCAGCGTAGTGATGTTAACATAGCCTTCCTTGTTGGTTCAACCAAGGATCTGCATCTTGCAGAGGAGCTGAGAGATGAAAATAAGCTCTATGGTGATTTGATTATTGCTCATTTCCTTGACTCCTATAACAACCTGACCCTCAAAACAGTATCCTTGCTGGAATGGGTCAATAACTATTGTAACCAGATTAATTTCGTTCTTAAGACAGATGATGACATGTTCATAAACATACCTAAACTGCTAAGCTTCATACAGAAACATGCCAAGGAGAAGCAAACCATCTTTGGGCGTCTTGCAAAGAGGTGGAAGCCTATTCGAAACAAGAAATCTAAGTATTATGTTCCAAGTAACCAGTATCAACCAGCTACTTTTCCTGACTTCACCACAGGTCCAGCATACCTCATGACTGGTGATATGATTCATGACTTATACACTGCTGCTTTAGGGAAGACATACCTCAAGCTAGAAGATGTTTTCATAACAGGAATAGTAGCAGAGGACATTAAAATTAAAAGGACACATGTAAATGAATTCTTTAACAAACGTATTGCTTTGAATGCCTGTAATATTCAAAAGGGCATTAGTATACATATGGTGAAGTTTCATGAACAGTTCGACCTGTGGAAGAAGCTACTGGATGGAAAGACAAAGTGCAAGTAATTTCACTGTGCATATGAACTGCAAAGAAAGAAGTTTTATATGTATTTATTGGTTTCTAAACTTAAGAATACTTTGGTATTATTTGAATGGTATTATATCCAATCAGAGATGAAAAATATTTTCAGTATTTCTGTATTCTGCATTTGTGGGCTGTGAGAGATTTAATATAAAAAAAACTTTAAAAATACTCATTTACTGGCCTTTTCAAAACCCAAATATCTATCCTACATCATAAAATGTAATAATTCTAACTTTGACAATAAAATATTATGATTTGTATTGTTTCTGACACTTAGTTAAACCTTTAGTGTCACATGACATTTAAATTTTATACCAGGAAGGTGCACTATTCACCATAAATCACTGTTAGTCCAAAGTGAACAGTTAATTTTTTTTTCAAATATTCACATTACATCCAGAGTATTATACAAAATCATATTTATCACTGCACATGCTTTTAAAAGTTCATGTTGGTAAATTAAACTCTGATTCAAATAATTGTACTTGTAGTTAATATTTGTAGGGTAATCCTTTAACCATTCAATTTTAATTTTAATGCCAAAAACAGTGTCCTTCCTTTTGTCATGAATGGCAGAGACAGTAACTTCTACAGTCTTCCTTCTCACTTGGCTCCCACCAAAGGTGATCAGTCTGTGTAGTTAATTTATGTGAACCAGCTCTCTCTCTCCCTTATCTGAAAAGCAATTTTAAAGTGTCCACAATTTCCTATGCATGATTTTCTGTGCAACTCAGTAACTGAAAATGCTAGTGAAGTTTTCTCTTTGAACACTGTGATTCTGCATATTTTTCTCAGATTAAGTTCTAACCATTATCATTAATATCATTCACAGTAGCATAATGAAGAGAACACTTACTGACCACCCTGTCACTCTCAAATTATCAAACTTTCTTCAAAATGACTTTTTTTTTTTTTCCTTGGCACTACAGCCCCAGTGGGCCTACACCTACCTCCATGAACTCCGTTCACTTCAGTTTCAAAATGACTTACCAGTAACTTTCTTGCAGTTGCTAATCAGATACCTTTCTGTTTGGTGAGGTAATAGCTGCACTCAGTAACTGCATACTACAGTACTTCATGGCTGTGAAGTTTCTGTCCATAGCAGTTGCAGCAGCAGAGGCATTCATATAGAAATATTATTACTTTCTATTTAGTGTAGACTACATCTTCATAACCCTCGTAGAATTAGAATAGACTTCTATAAATAGATGTTAGGTCCCAAACTAGTTACAGATAACATTCTGGGCCAAGGATATGACATAATATTTGACACCTGCCCCCCAAAAATTCTGTCAACCATATACAAAACCATACAAAAACATCTATATATAAATAAAAACAACTCATAATTCCTTCTATGAAGTAATGTTTAAAAAATTACTATAAGAGATTAAATGAAATTTGTATCTATACTTATTGTGTGCTATGTACATTGGACAGTGACATGTGATAAAAATGCAGGTGTACTGTGTACACTGGATGGCATGCAGGGTTAATTGGGTTAGAAGTTTCAACGAAGTCATATTCAATCAATTTAATGCAAATAATATCATTATGCTGAGGGTGATCCCCTAATATCTTAAAGAGGACACTGAATGGAAGCATATTAATTCAAAATAAACATTTTTAAAAACACTGTTTTCACATAAATAACTTTTTGGAATGATTCCTTTTTTGAATCTATATTGATCAGTCCATTGTGACAGATATAAGAAAGGGAAGTAACTATTGAATACATGTGCCTGAATTCTTTACCTATTTGTGAGCAAATATTCAACCATGTGCGCACACACACACAAACACTCTCTGTCTCACATAAACACACAATTTAAATTATATGTGATAATATGTTCTACTAACAAACTTCAGTGTGTTGCATCAGTATTTCTGACAAGGGCAAGTTAGCGTTCTTATGGTTGTTTCAAGTTTTATTCATGCTATCTATGTGCAGTCATTGTGTTTTTGAAGTTTATGTGCACAGTAAAACATTTTATGTACACAGACACTCAGCATAAACACATTAACCATGCAACATAAATTATTTCATTATATTTTTCAAGGCTGTAGTAAACCATGTTTTGAATACATATCTTTACAGTGCAATTATATATAGATTTTAGAACATAATTCAAGGATTGATTACATGTGGTATGATAATATAGTATATAAAACTATCTACAGAGTGAATAGTAACATGAAAAAACTAAAATGATCATTTTCAAAAGCTGTATATGCAAGTCTACATATAGGAGACAGCGGAATATTTATCCAGACCCAGGTACATAAAAGTCTTGGGCAGGCAGCTTGCATAAACCTTTTTAATTAAAGAGCAAACTTAAGTTCTATAATATTTAATTATATACAAGGTCCTAGCCGGGTAAGAAGAGCAAGTGATATTACGTAATACAACCCTAAAATATGTGAAATTTCAAGAGTGTACTTCGGTAGGGCCTATGTTATCTTGCAAAAAAAAAAAAACCTCTTGACCCTTCTTATGCAAATATACAGCATAACTTAATAATATCACATACTGATTTCTGCTCTTCTTACATTTGAAATCCTTTCATACATAGCAGTCTATTTACCACTACTTTTCTTTCCATCTCTGCTTTGATAGGCAATATGACCAGTTTTTATAGTGTGAACACAATCTGTGACCAGTGCTGTATCATTGCTAGGGAATCCTTTAATTCTTGAAGTAAACATTATGGATGCTATAGCAGGAAATAATATAAAGTGGTCAAAAGGAATATAAATTCATAAGATTATTACAATGTATGATCAGTTTAATTACTTCAGTACAGATTAGTTCAAGAAAAAGCTGAGCAAAATACAATTCACTAATTACTAATAAAGCAACAATGACAAATGAAAAGTAGAACAGATTCCTCTAGTAAAAAATGAGTAAAATTGCACATTCAGTGCTCCTTGTAAATTATGAAAATGTGCCATTATTCTTGGGCAAATGACAACAGAGTGATTCATGCTGAGTTAGTTAGGAGACTGCAGAATTGGAACCTGGTTTGGTTATAACTTCCATTCCACACACTTTTGTCTTCAATACCATATCAATGTGCACTTCTCACCCAAAGGCAGTGATAACACAGCATCAGTTAGTATGCACTCTTCCAAAAAGTACTTAGCACAGAACATTTTAACAACAGAATAACACACTGAAACAGAGGGCTTGAAGAATTGTGAACAGCAAATTCTCCAGCATACATGAAATGACTAAACCTACAAAGCATTATTGTTTCTTTGCAAATGACAAATTAACAATGTACACTCTCCTACCCTGAAGATGGAGGCAGCATATTCCTGATATACTGATAAAGCTCAACCACACTATATGCATCACATCCCAGAAGACAGTCTTCTTAATAATGTATAAAATTGTGCGCTACAGAGGTTACAAATTCTGTTTTTTAACTTGAATGAATATATTCTTAAACTGCAAATGATTTTGTGTTTAAATAATGTTGAATTATGTTCTTATGTATATGGTTTTTAAAACTGTCGATTATAACAGTTGTATAAAAAAAGTAAAGTAAAGCTATCCATGTACCAGGCTGTGAAGGCTCATAGGGTTGTGAGACGTTGAGGGTCCCACATTATCTAGACAATCAGCTCACAGATGGTGGTAAGATTGTCAGCCTTACGCGCCAGCCGCACTTTACTCCCCAGGAATATTATTTAATTCCTGGTACTCATTTCTATTAGAGGCTGAGTCTACCCCAAGGCCATAGTGTGGCTGGAAGGGTTAGGTCAATTGAAAAAAATTCAATGGCCTCATCAGGACTTGAACCCATGACCTTCTGGCTTGTAGCATAGCCCTTCAGCCAACTATTGTATAAAATTTATTATAACAAATTTTCTCGCCATCACCTTGAGACACACCGTGCTTAGACACAAAATTGTTGATGTGGAAGGCAGATGTGAGCACATGAAAGAATGACCAAGCTCCATTATATATATATATAAGCGGCCTCCGTAGTCTAGAGGTAACGTTCCCACCTCATGACTCGTGGTACGCGGGTTCAAAAACCCAGCGGAGGTTGTGGAATTTTTAAGGGCAGAAAAATTCAGGGAACAAGTCCTCCGGGAGGGACTTTAAGCCCTGGGGCCCGTGTCGTAGCTTTACGGCATGTAAAAGAACCTCATATCTCCAAAGGATGTAATTGAGCCAAATTCAGGACATTTCCCGCCCAACAGGAGTCTCTAACGCCTCCGATAGATGNTATAATTTTCTAAATCTGCATTCTTTCCTGATAATAACATCAAAATTTGGAAACTGAACACACCGTATGCTATATTTGCATCGCAACAAATACACTAGGTAATAAAGAATATACATCCAAAAACAGCGAAAACAGAACAGACACCGAAGGCTCAATCAAGTATCTTGTTGTTCCTACTGAAGTGTCTTGCAAACGGAAGCATTCTGAATTGTCATTTTAAGAATCCTTACAGAAGTTTTATAGATCCACAAGCCTTTATAATGAAGTGTGGAAAATGGCACAAGAGCTTTATAGAAAAGTCTGACAGAGTTGTTTTTTTGTGACGCAAAACATTACTGAGAGTTTCAGTATACTTTATGTGAAAACTACTTTTTTCTTTCTGTTTGAAAAATGTATCGATTCAAAATAAATTGAAATACATTGTTTCTGAAAATATGATGTGTGGAAGTACAACAAATTCTTGTTTATCTGGTACCTAACATCTGGAATTCTCATCCAGTTGGCAGAAATTTGAAAGAAAATTTTCAATCCCTACAAAGCTATTCAAGAACAAATTTGTGATGTCCATATATTCACTTGTCATGTAGTGGCTAGCAGCACTGCCAGTCATCCTTCCTCACACAAGTGTCATTACAAGTACAGTAGACGTTAAATGAATTGGTGATTGCAATTCAATGTATGGATCCAACATCTTCCATCTGGGAATATCACTTTGATCACAGTTCAACATATTTTGTGTCCAGCTTCCAGATAATTCAAAAGTAATATGATTATGTAAGTACATATGTAACCCACTGACATATTTGGTGTATCCTGTCCTCTGCTTAAAGAAATATTAATTTTGCTCAGAAATGATTTTATGGTCATGCTGAACTAATTGCCCATGGTATATAATAATTTTCTGCATGAGAATAACTTAGCTCACATGTGAAAAATAAATTAACACAAGTCCTGCCTCTGGTAAAAACAATACATATACAGTAAAGCCCAAATGACTGATATCATAATAACATTCTGTACAATTATCACAGATTTATTTTTACACAGCTGTTTCAGCCACTTGGCCCATCATGTGTTCTCATCAGTCTTACAATTTATTTAAATATTAAAGCTAAATTGAGAATTTAAAATTTTAAACCAATCGCTGAGTCAATATTAATAAAGATTTTAAACATACTGACAAAACCGACAAGGAGATTCTAGAATATTGGGTGCCGACTGACAACAGAGCAATGAACAATTGGAAATCTGGTGTTTAAATGTTAATATTGAGTGCACCGTGACAGCTACATGAAGTAAAATACACCCGATGATGGCCGATTGTGGCCGACACATGTAGTGTGAAAGAAGGGGGACAAGAACTACAATAAAGTGTTGCATTTACGATGGAATTTATATTATACATATAGAAATCATAAGTTTTAGCAGACATCACAGCATTGAATTCACCTCATCAATACTGAGTACATGTAATCTCCTCCCAAAGGACTATCTTAATCCAATGACCAACTTACAAAAACATTTACAAAATAAAAAGTAGCAGAAAAATAATGTTCGGAAATTGGTTTAGCTTGGGTACAAGCGGTAGCATAGCTGGTTGAGGCACTATGCTATAAGCTGGAAGGGCATGGGTTTGAGTCCCAATGAGGTGGATTTTTTTTTCAGTTGACCAAATCCTTTCAGCCACACTATGGGCCTAGGGCTGACTTAGCCTCTAACAGAAATGAGTACCACAAATATTCCTGGGGGGTAAAGAGCGGCTGGCGCGTAAGGCTGACAACCTTACCACCATCTGTGAGCCAATTTTCTTGATAATGTGGGACACTCAATGTCCCACAATCCTATGGGCCTCCATGGCCTGTTACAGGGATAGCTTTACTTTTTTTATTTTGTTTACAATATACATTTCTTTAGGTTTCTTTTGCACTTATTAACTTTATGGACAGGTCATTACAAACTATTTTGCACACTTGAGAACTGATCATATTTGGCAAGAAATTCTGCTACATTCTTAAGGTTCTTCTCAGAACTGTTTTGAGAACAATACTGAAGGCTGAGACATAATCAGAAATGGAAACATCACCCTTTTCCATATAAGACAGAAGATGTGATATCAAAGTAACAAAGTATGTTCCTCAGAAGCAGCATATTTGGGGAGCGCACATTGAAAGAATTTAATGGAGATGACATTTGAGCTAAATGTTTACATTGATATATATTCTGAATAGAATGAAACATGACAGATACACTTAAAAGCTGAATTGCCTTTAGATTTTTAGACACTGGAAGTATTTTTATAAGCTACTATGTTGTGTTTGGCAGACCATATATAACAGAATTTTCTGCATCTGCAAACAATTGTTTGCACTTATTTTATGCATGTTAATCGATTCCATCTTGGGCAAATCCATGCTGGACAAGGGTTTGCTGTATGTTTGACACAAAAGCAGAAAAAGAGAACCAGTTTGAAAGGTGAAGGATATCCTAAGCAAAACATAAAGTACCTGGTAATATCAATCCAAAGCTGCATAAAAATTTTGAAATACATTTAAAAACCCTATACAAGAAATTAAAAAAGGGGTATTGCCAAAAATACTTTGTAACTAAATGACAAAGTCATAAGAATTATACAGTATTAATAGACCATCATGCCAGACCAGGAGTGTGAGCCACTTACAAATAACTATCCATGAAGATAAATAGAAGACTGATAAGAGGTTCAATTTTATTGATGAAAATAATCGACTTCACAGAGTGAGTGCATTGGAAGACCTCAAAAACACCATCACGTGACCTTGGCTCTGACCTCTCTTGATATTAATCACATAAACAATATAACAATCTCAAGAGGTAAGTGTAAAGCCACAGACCAGGCAGAACTGAATCACTCTATGGGACAACATACTGGTCAGCAACATTCTCTGCTTTGCAGAAAGGTGGGAAACAAAACAAAATGGTATCCAATTTAAGATCTACAAAGCAAATATATACATTCCTTTAGCCTAGGATGATCATATTCCATTTTTGAGTGAGGTGACCCATTCTCCCTACAGAGATTAAATGGGATGCCAAATAGTACCATTTTACGATCAGTTCAATTTTATATGTAAGTTTCATTAACTTAGCATTTTATGAATGATTTTTGGAAGACAGTCATGTTTTAATCACTCACCTGTACACTGCACTATGGCATAGTGACTACACAGTCTCTCACATCACAGTGCAGTTCTTTTAAATCATCCAGTTTCCATTGTTTGGTTTCATTTCTTGTAGTCAATTGAAAATTTGCTAAAATATAGAAAAATGGTAACTAATCATACTTCCAGCTATGAAGTAGCTGAAGAACTTCATTATTATGGCAATGAACAATTCACCAAGTAAGTAATTTTTTTTGTGACACACTTCTGAACTATTTAGGAAGACAGAATAAAACCCCCAAATTACTGCCAGATATTTGTTCATGCCAGAAAAACAAAACACCTACCCAAAAGGCGTAACTATCTACTTCAACATCATCTGGAAAAGTGTGGCCACCCAGCACCATACATAGAACATTAAAAAAAGTGTCCTGTTTCTTATTTCTTAAAAGTTGGTCACCCTATTTTAGGCAGAAAATTATATGCAATACTCCTATGCAGTTTTTTGTAATTTATGAATTATCTTGGAGCACAGGCTCCCAGATTATAGGATTTTTTGCTTCCTCCCTACTGCTTTGCTTACGAACCTTGACTTGTACTCTGAATGAGAATAATGGTAGTGTAGAGCTAACTCTGGTAACAATCATTACCTTTCTTCATTGCTTATAAATCCTTCAAAACCATTAAAATATCGAAAACGTCAGAAAATGAGAATAAATATAAACCTTCTATTCCTATTTGACTGGACTATAACTTCTCATTTTAACTTATTCACACATAGCCACTTTTTCAACCACTGTTCGAAAGCACACTATGCAGTCAACATACTACAGATTTAAATTATACAAAATTTTGGCCTCTTAAAAAATGGTTTTGTATGTGTCTGATGCTTTTTATGAATATCTGTGAAGGAATGAACAGACATTAATATAAAGCAAATTTTTTATTTTGACAGTAATGAAAACTCATATTGAGTGAGGTCTTTTGGATTATGGCACCTCATTGTCCAATTGGTGGGTACCAACGTTTTTGAGGAATGCAATAATTTCATTGTCAGGTTTGATGTCACTTTCTCCAAAATACTGGTATCCATCTACCTGACTATGACATAAAAGGTAAAGTTTTCCCCGTGCTTAACTAATTAAGCACTACTCCATGAAGATGTTTGCAGGAGTGGATGTACATATCCACATTTTCTTGACCTCGGCACTAGTTGGAGGCGAGTGGTCAGTTTCACTCCCCAACTGCTTCCCCCCCCCAGGAAGGAGCCCTGGTACCCATTCTATAGGAGGTTGGGTTGACCCCGGAGCCAGTCTGGACAATATGGAGAAGTGAAAATTCTTCATCCTACCAGGACTCGAACTCTGACCTCTCCATCATCCAGCCCGTAGCCAGTCGCTATATTGGCTGCTATAAAGTCTACTGTCAAGTATTTCCCACAAGAATTGTGGTCTAATATGAAATGGGGAAGATTAACTGCAAGCATGTAGTAATTAATACTTGCTTGAATATGAGTGCATGCTGATGAATATGTCAATGGCTCTCATTTTGCAATGTGAATAGGTTAAAAATTAAGAACATGATACCAATTTGTTTTTTGGGGCTGCCATAAAATATTATTTATCTTTGTTTTTACATGTCAACTGTGTCCCTAATTTTAATTTAAAAATTCTTGTAATATGGATCAGACTGACTGGAAAGACTCATAAAACAAAAAGTGAAAATTACTGGGGTTAAACTCTCGAACAATTGATTATATACATAATTTGAATATTAACCAGATAACAGCAGCTTCAAGAATTGGAAGGTGGGTGTGAACATGACTGCCCATATTACAACCATCATAGTCACAGGTAAGGATACAGCCTGTCATTGTGTAGTCCTGATAGCGAAATACTCCACACTGAGTATCCATCGTCTTCATAACGCAGGCACGAATCACCATCAGTTCCCATGTTTCCACTGTAAAGCATTTGAAACAGAACAGTACTGTGTTATAATGAGTGTAAAGGAACTGCATTCATGGTGTGAAAATTCCTAAACACTTGCTCAATTGTTACACTGGTACGAATTTCTTGATGCACTGACTGTATGATCACTACCCATATTTCTGAGAAGTCATCTTTTATGGCTACTGTTTAATTTTTGAGGATCAGCACTGTAGCCGACCGCCGACGTACAGCTGCCACGACCTTGCTCGAGCTTGGGTTCTTTTTCTCAGGATATGGGTGCTTCGGAGATGGGAGTGGAACACACTTCGGGGTTCATGAATCTGGGGGCTCCAGAACACCGAATATTGCAGTTTAATTTAGAATTTCATTCAATGGTTAATATTTGCATTGTCCTTCAAGCTAGCCGCTCCTTCCGTCCTACTCACTACGATACTGTTAAACACTTCTTTGTCTACCTTTCAACTACTGTCCTCCTCCGCTCCCTAAAACCGACTGCCCTCTCTTTACCAGTCCCCCAGCTGGCCTAAAAAAACGAAAAAAAGAGAAAGCCAAGGGCCGAGCCTGGCATCTGACCTACATTCGTATTTTTTGAGAAGCCCGTAAACTTTTTTAGGTCTTCAAGGCATGCAAGACCCCTCCTGGCTGGTCTCGCACACGGTCAGTTCATGGGTTTATGATATACTGGGAGTAAACAGGCGACGTTAGGGACAATAGTGGCACCCTTAGCCTAAGGAGGACAATAGCTGAATTACAACTAGATGGTCCCGAGATGGTATCTCGCCAATGGAGTGTCTCTCATGGTATTAAACAATGCATAAGTTGTTCATACCCATAATTAAATAATTTTGGCAAGGGATGTACGGTTACAGCACCAACTTGTTTATTCCTAATCTTGCTTTCATTTTTGGGTGATGACACTGTGTTATGGTGGACAAATTTTTACAGTATAGTGATCCTAGTTACCTCCATCTTCAAGACAGATACTAAACAGTGATCTAATGCCAACATTTATATCAGTAAAAAAATGCTGACAACCCAGACATAACAACACGATAACATCATACATGAATGGAAAGAGGATTAGATATGAACTCTTCTCTACTGCTGTTCAACAGTGGATGTCCAAAGTTAAACTTACCATTCTTTCCCACTATTTTGATGCAGAAGTTAGCTGGGAATGTGCCTATATGCCCTTGTTTGGGTACCATGCATTTTTCTGTATAGGTTGACATAGCAGGATTGTATGGATCTTCACAGTTCACATCACTTCCATTGTATGAGGAGCAAGTGTAACAGTTTATGGCTTGTGAACCTGCAAATTTCAGATTCATTAATTTTAAAAATTGAAGACCTATAATTTCCAAGGTTAACACTACTTTTAATTAGTGATGTTTGTAAACATATTCTCCTTCACAGAGAATTTGTATCTTTCAGTTCCATTCTTTGCACATTTCTATTTGACCCTAGCCTACCATATGACATGTGAGACAACTGGTAAATTATAGCCATAAATTAGAATTATTATAAATATACATAATATTATGAAATTGANCTGGGGGCTCCAGAACACCGAATATTGCAGTTTAATTTAGAATTTCATTCAATGGTTAATATTTGCATTGTCCTTCAAGCTAGCCGCTCCTTCCGTCCTACTCACTACGATACTGTTAAACACTTCTTTGTCTACCTTTCAACTACTGTCCTCCTCCGCTCCCTAAAACCGACTGCCCTCTCTTTACCAGTCCCCCAGCTGGCCTAAAAAAACGAAAAAAAGAGAAAGCCAAGGGCCGAGCCTGGCATCTGACCTACATTCGTATTTTTTGAGAAGCCCGTAAATTTTTTAGGTCTTCAAGGCATGCAAGACCCCTCCTGGCTGGTCTCGCACACGGTCAGTTCATGGGTTTATGATATACTGGGAGTAAACAGGCGACGTTAGGGACAATAGTGGCACCCTTAGCCTAAGGAGGACAATAGCTGAATTACAACTAGATGGTCCCGAGATGGTATCTCGCCAATGGAGTGTCTCTCATGGTATTAAACAATGCATAAGTTGTTCATACCCATAATTAAATAATTTTGGCAAGGGATGTACGGTTACAGCACCAACTTGTTTACTCCTAATCTTGCTTTCATTTTTGGGTGATGACACTGTGTTATGGTGGACAAATTTTTACAGTATAGTGATCCTAGTTACCTCCATCTTCAAGACAGATACTAAACAGTGATCTAATGCCAACATTTATATCAGTAAAAAAATGCTGACAACCCAGACATAACAACACGATAACATCATACATGAATGGAAAGAGGATTAGATATGAACTCTTCTCTACTGCTGTTCAACAGTGGATGTCCAAAGTTAAACTTACCATTCTTTCCCACTATTTTGATGCAGAAGTTAGCTGGGAATGTGCCTATATGCCCTTGTTTGGGTACCATGCATTTTTCTGTATAGGTTGACATAGCAGGATTGTATGGATCTTCACAGTTCACATCACTTCCATTGTATGAGGAGCAAGTGTAACAGTTTATGGCTTGTGAACCTGCAAATTTCAGATTCATTAATTTTAAAAATTGAAGACCTATAATTTCCAAGGTTAACACTACTTTTAATTAGTGATGTTTGTAAACATATTCTCCTTCACAGAGAATTTGTATCTTTCAGTTCCATTCTTTGCACATTTCTATTTGACCCTAGCCTACCATATGACATGTGAGACAACTGGTAAATTATAGCCATAAATTAGAATTATTATAAATATACATAATATTATGAAATTGATTAAATAAAAAAAGCTGTATATATAAGCTCATCATAAGTTATAAGGAATGCAGAATTTATATTTAAGTGCTGTTTATTTTTTCACCTAAGTAGCCTTGTTATTACAACATTTAAAATGATATTCTTTTTACTTAGTTATATTCAATTTTTTTAGCTGCTTGTTAGATGATATTAACATATCATTCTTTTTTATTCAATGACATCTTGTGACCATTCAGATAAAAAAGGAGGGGCCATCATTTATTATCTGACAGTAAAATACAGATGTTATGCTGACTGCCAATGCCAAAGGCCACCAATTAATCCTGTCCTGACCCAATTCTATACACTTCACATTCTAACAATCTATTCATTCCAAGAACATTTTTCTTTCTAATCATTATTCACCTATATATTTCTTGGTTTTTCAGATAATTTCAAGGAAGTCTGCCTCTAAAATTGAGAAGCTCTGATTTCCAAAAATGAGAGACATGCATACTATTCTCTGACCTTCTAAATTTAAAGTGTCTTAACATTAATAGGACTCCATAAACCACAAAGTTCTTGCTTATATAATACTGCCCTCTCTCAACATTATTAAAGTAATGTTCAATAAAAAGTGATTAATCATCACCTTGCAGCTGAAGTAGACCAGGGAGTAGAAGAAGGCATACATGTTCCAGCATCTTCCTCCTCTGTAACTAAGAGAGAGGGACATTTGACGTACATAATCTGCACATGTATTTCAGATGCTGGAGACAAGAAATTCATTGATAATTTTGATGGGATGGAATATACTCAAGTGGGTGAATCATGATGGGAGGATGATACTAAATGGAACTTATGGAAATGGAAATATGTTGTGATGTTCTGAACTTGATCAGAGCTGTGTCCTGTGACAGGCTGTGCTATAAGCAGAATTGAAATATGAAGCCATATTATCACAGACTGTAAATCCACTGTTCAACCGTTGTTCTTGTAATGTGCAGCATACAGAAGAATGGGTAGTATCAGCACGGCGTCTGATACTGACAGTGAGCTATCTTCCAAAGATCTCAATATCTTCTGTCCGTACATTACATGCACAATGTGGACGCCAACATCCCATCTTATTCCCTGAGATGTCTCGGAGTTGGCAGTCACCAGGAAAAAAAAAAGTAGGACCATGTGGGTACTCTCTGATTAGGGTGTCTTTCAATGCATGTCCTAACAGCGCCTGCAGCACTCCCTTAGCATAAGATGTGTATCCCATAACATAATAAATCAATAACCACTTTCAGTGCTGGATTGGTATGCAACCTGGTTTTCCAATCTTAGATTGCTTCACACTGGTTCCAAATGTAATATGCTTTAGTGTTACAGCAATGTGTTCTTTAAGTGGATATTTGTAGACAGCTTTGGCCCCACAAAATAAAATTTTACTTCCCATTAATTCTCATTATTTTCAATACATATTTTCTTATGTAATAATCTTAGTTCCTTTTCACCTGAGAAGAAGGTGCCTAACCCAAACAGTAGGCAGAAAGGAACAGTAATTAAATATAAAATAAATATATGAAACAGAAAAAAATACATTTATCCTTGCCTCAATTAATACCTCGCAGGGAAAGTCACAATATACCAATGGATTCAGATAAAGAAATCATTTTTAAAACATTCTCTAAAATCGTCCCTGTTCACGTCAAATAAAGGTACAGAACAGGTAACAGTTTGACTGAAATGTGGGAATGGAGCAGATCATTAAAATAAGATAAATTTAGGGAAAGTGATATCTGTTTTGGAGAGTGAACTTATAAGTGAAGTAGTGGAATACTGGTAAAAATTATATCTATCCAATACAGTAATTCCAAAACCATCATCCTAAAATAGAAGTGTGAACAAGACTTAAACTGACTGCTGGATCATCAGTTCTTCAATATCCCAAACTTTTTTATTTAAGCATGTGATCATAATCAGAGGAACTGTAACTGACATGGATGTATTTAAGATGCCAGGGCTGACACTACATTTTTTTTATTGCTAGTGGGATGGGACTAAGTCCTTGTACTGCGGCCACTTCTGGCCTATTGTACCAGACCCAGACGATATGTGAGTGTGATTGTGGAGCAATTGGTGGAATGAGGACTGGCAGGGGAAACCGAAGTACTAGGAGAAAAACTGCCCCAGCGCCACTTTATCCACCACAAATCCCACTTGACCAGACCCGGGATCGAACCCGGGCCGCCGCGGTGGAAAGCCAGCGACTAAACGCTTGAGCTATGGTGCGGCCGTGACGCTACATAACTCCATACTGAAAGTATCATTAAGTAACTTCGGAGGGGGGAGAGAACGGAAAAAAAAAGAGGCTTGCTTTCTGACTTAAACAGCTGGTGCTAACATCAGGGGATGCTGGTAAAGCAATAAATGGGAAATAACTCCGGGTATTGAAGTTTGGTTAAGTTATCAATGGGTGTATAACACAACATGAAAAATGATCAAGTAGGTTAATTTTCGTAACATCCTACAGGAGAGAATATTATGTCCTTATATTTAACAGAAAGCTCCTTTAGACCTAATCAAAACTTGTCTCGTATAAACTTCGTATGGCCGAAAGAGAAATGTAAATACATCGCATAGCTTATAATTGTAGGGGTAGAGGGGAAGCGTATACAGCAAACCTGCAGCATGCTCCCCTCAAACGAAAGCTCTGCCCACCCCACAAGCTCATCATGCAGCAAATGTAGTCGCTATACTTACATAATCAGCCACCTCCGACAACGGTAAGCATCAAACACTCAATGAAAATATATACAGGTTATTTCCCATGGAACTATGCCCATTCTAAAGCATCATAAAATAACGCATTTCGCACTACGTTTTCACTCTACAACTACCCTTCTTTTTAGGTGCCCAACTTGACGCATGCTCCCTAGCAACAGTAACTACGGAAAAGATCGAGTTGAAATGGATGCTGCTCAACAAGGGGTGACAGTCTGAAAGGGCCGCTTTCAATCAAAGAATATTTATAAAGATTCCTGATCCAGACCTTCCCTGCCTCGCTATTTGGTCAATACTTTTGAAAAGTCACAATCCGCTACTGATTAAATTTAATTTATAGTGAATGAATTGCCAATTTGTAATATATTCATTTTTATAATATGACGTAATTTACAATCCAGCAAATAACCACGTTTCCTTTTCAAATTATAAGAAGTAAACATTTTTTAAGTTTCTAATTTTAGATTTTTAATTTGTCATGGCTGTAGCAAAGAAAGCCATTTCTGCACCGGGAATGTATTAACATTGCTGGCAGTTCTTTTCTGAAATAGGGTTATTTGGGGAACGAGGTGAAGTTTGACGGATGTATAATTGCTCGTTTTGTTAGCGACAGGAGGTAAAATGACCCCTAAATTGACAACAAAAAATGGGGAAATATACGCAAAATTAGTTGCAGGTATAGGATATGACAATCGCGATAACCGTGAAATAATGACAGAAAACGCTAAAATATTCAATCACGACAAAATGCGATACCCTTCATAGGGACGAACTGCTTGGTATTGTAACATTTTAATGCGACAGCGAGATGGAAGAGAATACGAGGAACTTCCGAATATATATTGCCGTCCATTACTCGGTCTCTTCATGAAAATTTGTGGAATGATTTCGCAAATTTCATATTCAATTGTGTAGTTAACCATATTGGGAGATATCAAGATCTGAATTCACCCATCATACGTGTTTTTTTTTTATCGATTTCGGTCAATTAAACAATACCTAGGCCGGTCACAGTAGCCGAGCGGTGTTTCCTCGCTCGGAAGCCAGGGGTTCGAATCCCATACAAGGCATGGATGTTTGGCATGTGTGTTTATTCTGTGTTTGTGTTGTCCTATGTTTAGGTAGAGGCCTTGTGACGAGCTGATCACTCGTCCAAGGAGTCATACATTCTGTAAAATGGTCATGAAACGGAAAAATCAGAGGCCAGGGCCCAAGGGGGCTGTAGAGCCAGTGGGGGGGGGACAATATCTAGGTTGAAACGATTTATGAATGACACAAAGTAGGTGGCTTATTTTACCAGGACACAAAAGGCATTTTTAGCCTGATTCCTCATTTTAGAAACATAAGTGTAGGGTCATGAGAGCAGCTTATTCTGAAGGTTTGTCTCTCCGTATGTGCATCCCGTGTAACAAATTTTGAAGGCCTGAACTGATCTTTATGAAACTGGTATATATCATGCCACCTGTGGAGACCTCAACTGCATACTTCCTAAATCCCTCCCACCATTAATAAAATGAATGCAGTCTCTCAAATTGTTGAGATAATAATCACCTTAATGTTATTTTGCAGCATTCTGTTGCACTGCATACATCTGACTTTGCATCTAGCTTTTATGCTGTGTATGTGCAACTTTGTTTACTATTCACTCATCATTTTTCCTTAGTGACACTACATGTCTTGATGTTTTGACTTAATTGGCCATCTTCAGGTGTACAGGTCGTTGTGATTAAGGATCTGCTGCTCACTGTAAAGCTGTTTTATTTCTCATATGCCGCTGTCTTGGATTGATTCTGGTTATGTGGGTTAACCATCTGTTTTAATTTTGCTTTCCTTGAGCTGCACTGTTTACTTTGAGGTTTTGTTTGGTTTGTTGGCTAATGTTCTTGCCACAGCCAATAAACTGAACATAACCTTAAGGCAATCATGTGTGGCTCAAGGACACCAAAATTAAAACAGGTGGTTAACCCACATAACTTGGTACATTAATGGCAGTTCTGTAAAGAAAGAATTTATATTCATTTGATCACTGACCATTATTGCTTGTGGTGATTTGTTCGGAATGATGTAAAATTTCCTTTTGTCAATAAGGATTACAACGGACAAAATTAGTGTTATGCGCAGAGATGGAGCTCCATCACAATGGGAATCTGTTCTAGATACAAGATGGTTCAAATATGACTGGGACTGATTTGTGTGTAAACAAGCTGCACTGCGCAGCAGCTGTGTGACCTTAAGAGAATAAAGCCACAACCTCTACCCTCCCTCCTGTTAGGGTTAGAACCTGTTCAGTCCTGTCTGGGAGTTGCTAGAATTATGAGCGAACAGAAGGTACCGTGGAGCGTGGAACAACGCATTGTGATTGAATTCCTCGTTGGAGAAAATGTTCCGTCCGCTGAAATTCACCACAGACTCCAACAACAGTATGGGGAAGAGTGTCTCTCATGGACCCATGTATCTGAGTGGTGTAAGTGCTTCAGAGAGGGCAGAGAGTGAGTGGAAAATGAACCGCATGATCGTCAACTGCGAACATCCATCACTGAGCCAAACATTGATTGTGCAGACGCACTTATTCATGAGAATAGGTGCATCAATATCAAGGAACTTGGAGCAATGCTGTCCATCAGTGTTGGTAGTGTAGAAGACATCGTGAAATACCACCTGCACTATCGCAAGGTGAATGCACAGTGGGTACCACACACTTTGACGGACGTGAACAAAATGGTGTGCATGCAAGCTGCCAGTTGTCTCCTACAGCAGTTTGAAGATGAAGGTGATGCATTTTTGAAGTCTATAGTGACCACCGATGAAACGTGGGTGCACTACTTCATTCCCGAGTCCCAGCAGTCATCATGAAAGTGGCAGCATACCAGTTCTCCCAAACCAAAGAAAGCGTGGAGGAGCCATTCGGCAGGAAAAGTGATGGCAGCGTTCTTCTGGGACTGGCAGGGAGTTATCCATGTAGACTTTCTGACAGATGCCAGAACAGTCAATGCAGCTTATTACTCAGACCTCCTGGCAACAGACGTGAAGGAAAAGATCCGATCCAAGCGGAAGACACGTGGAAAGCAGGTAGCCTTCCTTCAAGACAATGCACGCACCCATATGGCCAAAACAACAATGGAAACCCTCCGGAAACTGAAATGGAACCTACTGACACATCCGCTGTACAGTCCCAATTTGGCCCCAAGAGATTTCTACCTGTTCGGAATGCTCAAATCAGACTTGCAAGGCATGCAGTTTGTGGATGACGTCGTCATCCAGACTGTTCGGGAGTGGATACGCCTCCAACCACAAGCCTTTTTTGAAAAGAGCATCAGGATGCTTCCAGAATGTTAGAAAAAATGTGCTGACTCCGGAGGGGAGTATGTAGAAGACTGACATGTGCAAGTAAGTGTTTGGCAATTATGTTTTTTTAAGAAAAATCAGTCCCATTCATATTTGAACCACCTTGTACAACACTCACATAGAGCAGGCCACACCTCTGTCACATTCCCTCAGTGTATGCTTCATGGACATTTCTTGTTTGTGAAGAAACATTCACCAAATTTTAGCAAAATGTTTCAAATATAATGTTGTGGAATAGTTTACAGTTATCGGGAAAACACAATCTTCCTTGCTCATCATGCTTGGTGATATTTCATTTCTCTGAAATGCCCTGTGTAGAACTAATTACTCTTATGTTCATAACTCTGTTGCTTGTCCAAATTGATACTNGTGACAATAGTGACAAGAATATACTTTGTTACACTCGACGGAGGTTATATTGATAAGTGGTGATTGATAGTGTAACGGACCAAAATGAAACAATTCAAAACACAATCTTCCTTGCTCATCATGCTTGGTGATATTTCATTTCTCTGAAATGCCCTGTGTAGAACTAATTACTCTTATGTTCATAACTCTGTTGCTTGTCCAAATTGATACTCAGGTTTTCTCTGTGGTATATTTTACGTAATTCCTTACCATATTATTAATCCTAAAAGTAAAACAAATACCAGGTTGTCCCTTTACACTTGCCCCACATACTTCCCATGCACTTGCCTCAACCACAGAATCTGAGAGGGCAAAACTAAACACATTAATTACATTACATAAATACATAAATGATGCTTAGCTGATGGTACTATTTCATTACATATATCACACAGTACAAACCTGTGAATCAACTAAGATATTTCACAGACTGTGAATAATGAAGAACACAGCATTTTTCTTCTGAAGAAGAGCAATATTACCTAATACTTCAGTGAGAGAGTGGGAATCAATAACCTCTCACCTTAGTACCAACATACCACAATAAAATTTACCCAAATGCGCAATGATGTATGAAGTTCTCTTTATAATCACTAGATGCCAACAAAATCTTTGAGCGCTGACTGGTAACGATGTATGTTTACATTTACCTCTAATCCCCACTTGTCCTGCCTTACCCCACTAAAATAATTTATGCTTCTATAAAAAACTGTCCTATTCTACACCTCTATTGTATCTGCAGTTTTTAGTTTCAATCCGAGCCCCTATCTGTATTCTTTGAGGTCAAAGAAATTGTTTAGATGTGAATTTTTGGGAAACATGGATAAATTTAGATATGATCACATCAGAATAATTGCATACACCCACATAATCAACCACACATAATTTGTCATGAAAAAATCGCTAATGCAGGATATATGGGAAATGAGTTCATCTTACCAACAGCTTTCTGAACCAGGTTTGCCTAACACTCACTCTTAACCAATTTGTTACTTATTTACTTATGGAGATGAGTCCTTCTTGAGGAGAAACCAAATCTGCAGCTACTCAAGAATTTCCCAGCATTTTATGGAACCCGAAGGTTCATTACTGTGTTCACAAGAGCCCTCCACTGGTCCCTGTCATGAGCCAGATCAATCCAATCCATACCATCCCATCCTATCTCTCTAAGATCCATTTTAATATTGTCCACCTGCCTATGCCTTGGTCTTCCCAGTGATCTCCTTCCTTCTGGCTTTCCCACCAATATCCTATATGCATTCCTCATCTCCCCCATTCGTGTTACATGCCCTGCCCACTTCATCCTCCTTGACTTGATCATTCTAATGACACTTGGAGAAGAGTCATTATGCAGTTTTCTCCAGCCTCCTGTCACTTCATCTCTCTTCAGTAATCCAATTTGTTAATATCATTAAATAAATAACCTGGAGTCCAAGAAGTCTAACTTTATTGAGCTTTTGGGTCTTTCATATTATCATCATTTGCATGACCAATATTTTATTACTGCTCCACAAGTCAGGTTCTACTGAACTCTCAGACAGGATGTCAAACTTTTCAGATATTACTATGATAAGGCTAAGAAATTCCTCAGTATTAAAAAATTGAATTAACAACAATATTTTGTGTCTCTTTTATCATTTTACAACAGCTAACAGAGAACAGGGGAAAATGATCTATATAAAACTGTATTCCTAAAGAATCTCTTAGAACTTCATTACCAATTTCAATCCACATTCAGTGGATATCAATGCAAGATTTACTAATTGTGGCACTTTGTTAAATTCTGTTATTTAACAATAAATTTGAGGTACATCATAACAAACATGTTTAAAAAATTTTGTGTCTCGAAAATTTGTTCAAAACTTGGTCCATAACTGAGAAAACAAATTTTTGGACTGTAATGTATGCATGTCTTTAAATTACTGTATTTGTCCAGATCCAAGTTTTATGAGGGACAGTCAGTAACCAGGTCACAAATGGAAGTAAAACAGCTGTAATGGATGTAATAGGTTTTCTATGTTTATCACTAGGTAGCAGTACAGTCCAGATTCTTGACATTCTAGGTAGCAGACACACAGCGTACGTTCAGAGGCTTGTTTCAGTAGTAAAAACGGTGACTGTGCTTGAGGAGTATATTACCCAAGAGAAGCACTGTGGACATAAGGACTCAATGCAAGGGATGTTCATAAAGAAATGTTTCCTGTTTACGGTGGGAAATGTTTGTTGTGTAAAGTGGTTAGAAAGTGGGTCGAGAAACTTTGAAAACGTTTTGCTGATGATGAGGAGGTTAAATACAGAGGTGTGGACATGGCTGAGACAACAGTCAAAAGGCTTCTATGTTGCAGGTTTCGATACACTGGAAATGGGTTGAGACAAGTGTATCAATGTTGGTGGAGGATATGTCAAGAAATAAAAGTTTTTTCCAGGTTTTAATATCACATGTTTTACATTTTATATCGATTTGTGTCCTATTTACTGACTCTCCTTCATATGAATACACAGATATTTGTACCTTGTGTTTTTGTTTGCTATTTATGTAGTTATACAGAATTATGCAAGTCAGTAACAAAAGGAAAATAGCAATTATTTCCAGGAAATCTGCCCGTATATTCTGGATTATAAAAAAACTTGGTTTTAGATTTGGCACAATACAGCATTTTTCTGAATATGTACTGCATGGTGCAGGCATGCTTAAAGTAAAATATATAATTTCAACAACATAGGATTAAGCTGAGATGTCAAAATAACAACATAAATTATGTACTTATAAAACAAAATGTAATTTAGAACACTGCACTTTGTTCTAGGAATTAAAAACCAAGAATTTAAAAATAATAATAGGAACTTTCAGTCTTCAACATCAGTGGGAAACGATTAAACACTGATCATAGATTAATCTGTTTAACAATGTAAATCTTGAGAAAAATGTCATAACATCTCATCTAAAATAAATCCACTATTCCAAATACAGATACCATGATTCACTGTACAGATTAATCATGTAAAATCTCCACATTCTTTAAAAAAATAATACCTATTTACAAACAAGTTTGAACAATATGCATTCATCTCACATACAAAATAATAAAAGAATTACAGCTATTTACACTGAGAGGGAAAGTCTGAAAAAAATACCAAACATCTGTTGTCTTCAATCATCTCACTAGTTCCAGCTTTCAGGCTGCGAAGGATCAGTCAGGGATGTCTCCCTATTCTCTTCTGAGTAACCATTTGCATTTAACGTTATTCATTCACACACGATAAACTGTCATGAGAATTGCCAATTTCGTCACTTTTCACAGATCAGAAATAATCACATAAACTGACTAATTTTCTGCTACATTTAAAATGTTACATACAGTGAATTGGAACCTAGTGCAACAAGAAATAAATATAATTTTATAACACACACACACATATATATATATATGTTTGAATCACATGCAAAAAACCAGAGTATGCATGTAAACAAGAATTAAAATAGTACTATCTACCCACAGTTTATGAAGTATGATGACAGATAATACTTCAGTTGTTAAAAGAGTCACCTACATCCAGTTCTCATAAATTAGACATTATCATCAATGAAGATAACCTGGAACCCAAATATATTTTCCTAAATACCCACATAATTATTTATTCCCTTCCCTCACAAACAAGGACATTATACATTTGCACTAACACTGAGAAATTATATTACAACTAGACAAATAATCATTACCCTAAAAACAGTGCAATAACTGCAGTAGGCTGTATTCTGCTAGAACTGAAGGTGACAGAAATAAATAAACACATGTGATATAAAGGTCTTGCAAATTGCCTCTACAACACACACAACTACACAGACTAGAAGAATACAAGAAGTATCAACAGGCGCTTCAAAATTTTCCATGCCTGCATGTTTTAAAATTAAGATTTCCTATGCATAGTTATCATAACTAGCATCAATTCCTTCTACCTCTTGGGTGCATGGTATAAATATGAACAACATGAACACTTTCTTGAATCTACATATGTGAAATCTGAGGCTCTCACAGCACTGAGGATGAAGATTGCTATCTTCTGGCATGTGATGTCATGTGGTCTGGTAGACAGGTACCAACACTTGGAGGAACCTGCTACCTACATCTTCAGTGTAACCTGAAGACTGGGACTGTAAGTTCCCCCAAAAAATGTACCTATTCACGAAATTACAAAACATCATATCCCAGAAGACAATAATCTTTTTAACACTTACACAATTTCCTTTTATGTGAAATATCTCCACATATTACATAACATAACAATACAGTTTTTGACCCTCACTTAGTCATATTAAAGCAATAATATGTTGATATTTGCTCAGTTCACATCTCTTTCTTATCAATTTGCTAGAAATGCTGAAATTTTCTACTGCTGTATTGCTTTCCAGCTATGTACATACATTTACCTACTTTGTAGATAACAGCCTAGAAGAAACTTTCTATCGCAAAGGTGTTCCAGCTTTGCTATGTTCAAGAACCTCCCTGGACCTTAGAGGCCTGGTGTTGCTGCTGTACTGACTGCAATCTATCCATTGCATCTTGAATTTTTCTTCCTACCAACTCATATTTTCTTCGCACCATATTCTTGTACTCCTCTTCTTCACGGTCCAGGATCCGTAAGAAGTTGTTCAGTTCTGGCAGAGTAAATGCTTCCCACTAGAAGAACAATTTGAAGAATCCAATGCAATTACTTATTGATAACAGATGACAGAAATGCAAGATCCTATTAGAACGTTATGAGTATTATTTGATATCAAAATATGTCAGAAAATATTTAAAAAGTGCTATATAAAACACATTATGTGCTTGTGTTAAAGTATGCAGTAGAAATGTTGACATGGGCTAAAAGGAGATGAGAGCAGAGAGAATCTCCCTAAGTGGCATAGTATGAAGAAAGGAACAAGGGATGAAATCCAAAACCAGTGATGACTGCAGAAATGCTATAGAAAATAAGGATGAGGAAATATGGACATATGCAACATGAGGATAATCAGCCACTTGGCAACTTCCCATCATTTTATGGAACTCAGAGGTTCATTATCATGTCCACAAGAGCCCGACATTGGTCTCCATTCTGAGCCAGATGAATTCAGTCCATACATCTCAATCCTATATCCAATTTAATATTATCCTTCATAAAAATTCTATTTTCTTCTAAAATAACTCTAAGAAATCCCAACAGATGGAAGACGTCACTGGAACAATCTTATTTTAAGCTTTAAATTCTGCAATAATGTGCATGCACAGTTACAAAACTTACCTACACAGTCATAGCCCTTTATTACTGAAAGATGGGCAAATGTATGAGTACATTCATAATTCAAAGAAGTTAATCTAAACGTATATTCTTCTTGAAAGTAAAATGAGAAACTCTGCAATCTCATACCAGTATATCACCAGTTTCATTTTCCTGAAGAACAAACATCTTGTTGCAATCCTTTTCTCTGTTCCATGTAAGTGCTAGAACAAGTGGCTTTTCATTTTCTGCAATTCGACGCATTTTGACTGAAATATAACACAAACAGTTATTCATTAATAGCTAAAAATAAAATAATTAAATTTACATGAACGCTTTTCATGTTCCTATGATAACTATATGCTAATTGGATTGGTCATGTTTTACGCAGAAACTGCCTTCTAAAAGAAGTTATCAAAGGAAAGATAGAGGGGCGGATAGAAGTGACAAGAAGATGAGGAAGAAGACATAAGAAGATGCTGGATGACCTTGGGGACAGAAGAGGATACTGTCATTTGAAGGAGAAAGCTCTAGATCGCATTAAATGGAGGAATTGTTTTGGAAGAGACTGTGGACCTGTCGTCTTGACAGATTACTGATGATGATGATGATAACTTATTTTTTATGTTTTGTTACATAATTAGCTTTAAATATCAAAAGACTGTATGAGAGGTTAATTTTTACAGACTATCACACCTAAAAGGTAGGAGATAAAGCCAGATGTAAATTATTTTGTTCACATGTCAATGTTTTTCTCTGAAAATATTATGACATTCCTATGAACTGTAATCGTGTATTACACATTATCATAAACTCCTACATGATGCAGGGTCTTTACTGAAAAGCATGACTAGTTACAAAATTCTTTGCATTATGGAGGTAGAAGGTTCATTACTATGTTCACAGAAGCTTGCTATTAGCGCCTACGCTCAGCCAGTTCAATCTAGTCAACACCTTGACATGTTACTTCTGTAACATCCACTTTAATATTGTCACAAGATAGACTGATTATTGAGGAGGTTTGGATTTGTAATTCAATTTGTTGAACACTTATAGATCATAACTGCAAGCAACTATAGTGTTATCATGCATTCACACACTCAACAGTTCACTACAGCTTGTACCAAGTCTTCTCAGTCTTCCGTATCTTCACCAGTCATCTGGTAACAGCTTAAAATGCTGCAGATCCCTCAACTTTCATGCTCACATCTTTACTTGCTGATGACTGTCTCACAACTAACTAAACTCTAGACTTGTCCTGCTCATAACACCTCAGCACGGACCACACAGATAACCCTCTCCCAGCAGCTCTTCTATTGTTGTCGCACATAGCTGTTGCACGGACCACATAGAAAACACTGCTTCACAGTCCATTGGTGCATGTTAGGAATCTGTTGTGGCCATTACCTAGCAACATTATTCTCCCATGTACACCACAGTCACTCAAGTGGTCTCTACCTTGGAAGTTTTATATCTAAAATTTTGTGCCCACATTATATTTTATTATACAGATTTCAAAATGAAGACATGAACTGCCCACAGTGTTATATCAGTCTTCCAAGAGAAATATAGTTGATCTGTCTCCACAATTCATTAAATTGAAGTTAAAGTTTTGACTAAAATAATGTGCACGACAAACAGTTAATTGATAAAGCTTACATGCAATAAGATAAGCACAAACATAATGTCAGTTCAAGTTGTAGATAACATAGAACTTTCAGTCTATTTCATACCAATGCTCCCTGCACTTTATATGTGACAATACTGAATGATTTACAATTTACAAGGTCCATATTACGAGTACATACAACATCCACAGCAGCACAGTTGACTGCACTTAGGTCTGCATATACTAGTAATATTTCAATAGGAAGTAGGGTATAAGTAATAATATGAACAGTAATAAAAAAAAGTGGTAAATCAAAGTAATGCTAGGTAAATTGCACGAAGAGTTCTCTCTTCTGAGCGATAACAACATGCAGTCCACTGAAAGTCAACTGATGTCTTCGAGGAATATGTCGCCTCCATCTTCAGGGTCAAAGAACCAACTTCACACTGCTTTCTTCCTTGGCTTATTCTTTGCCCTTGAAGATGGAGGCTACATGTTCCTCCAAAACACTGGTTGACTTTCAACAGACTACACAGCATCATATCCCAGACAACAGAACTCTTCATAACCACTGCTGCAACCCCAAATCCTATGAATTGTATCAAGTTTCAAGAAAACAGTGTTGACTTGAAAAGCATAAATTTTGGTAAAAACCAGGATTTACGTGTCAAACGTATGGTTTACCAACGAATGTTTGTAAAAGCCTGAAAAAGTAACTATTTACATCTTAAAATCAATTATAAGAGTGAATTACTAAATTTATACCCTTCTATATATTTTTTTTATATAATTCTGTACATTTTTAACTCTTTTGCCAATATTAAAAAAGCATTTCATTATTTTTTCCATTTTCTTATTCTTGGGATTTTACCAATGCTGATTGTGAAACCCTAGGTTTGGGCCATAAATCATAGGTTTCACCAAAATTCGGGATTTTACAATAACGTTTTTCTTAAACTTGTTATGATTTATAGGATTTGTGGTTCTCACAGCAGTGGCTATAAACAATTCTGTCTTCTGGGATATATAAAGCCATACAGTCTGTCACTCCACTTGAATGCATATTGTTCAACTGTGTTCTCTGACATACAAGGTGTGGCAATAAAGAACCCGGATTACTTTTATGACTCATTTCCGGCCACGTCATTGACGAAGGGGAGGGTAGGGCATTGACCCTTGGACTTCCCTCTACCGTCACACAAAGTTTCATTCACGTGCATCGGTTAGTCTGGCCGCGACCATTGTTAGAAGCGGATCGTGTTTCTGAGCTCCGTCGGAATAATGCTGAGTGCTAATGCAGAACAACGTGCTAACATCAAATTCCTCACAAAACTTGGAAAATCTGCCACTGAAACTTACAATTTGTTGACAGAAGTATATGGTGATCAGTGTCTATCTCGCACGCAAGTTTTCGAGTGGTTTAA